CCTGACTGACAGACCGTAGATGTCGCAAGGAACCCATATACCAAATATAGTTATCCTATTTCTCATAATAAGTGAGAAATTCACATGACAAAAAAACTGTAATTATTTTTCAAGCAGTCACTGAACCATGAAAATGAGGTCAAGGACAATGGGCATATGACAGACGGAAACTTCGTAACATAAGGTATCTGCATACAAGGTATGAAGCATCCAGGTCCTCTACCATCTGAAATATAAAACTTTAAACAAATAGTTTACGACGCCGCTGCCAGATGGTAATACCTATGTCTCTCATACTGCGACAGGCGAGACAAAAAGGAAATGACTTCAAATGCAATTTTCCAATCACAAGGATCATTACTCCTTTACAGCAATAGTGAAAATCGTCAATATCAAACTTGACCTCAATTTTTGTCATCAGTAACAACATATTTAAATTTGAAAAGCATTGTTTAAATGGTTCATAAGTTATTTTATAGAAACAGTCAGCAGCCAGCCCATCCATCCTCCATCCTTCATCCTGTTGCCTAACCGACATACAACCCTAAATCAATAATTAGATGTTTGTGGGAAAAACCTGCTTAAAAAGCAGAAGAGATCTTCTAACCAATACAAAATTGTTTTTAGTGTATGGCATTAAATAATAAACAAATGAATTTCAACAATAGTATATTATTGCTTTTTATCTTCCTAAAAATAGAATATAAAAATAAGTATGTACAAAATAAATAAAAGATTACAATTCTGCAAACTTTTCTAAATCATATCAGTGGGCAACATACATATATTTAATCTGTGTAAAAGAGAAAGGCGAGTGCTAGAAAAATTGCAATTTTTCATAATCTATACACTAGAAAACATTTATAACAAGTCAACAGTCATTGAGAAATATAAGTTGATTATTTTTCATAACAACTTACCTAGGGGAGAAAATTCAAATCTCTCTGTTTGGTCCATATAGCTAGACTATCTCCCCTTTGTTAACTTGATTAAGAGATACTTGATTTGACAGCCAATCCCATTAAATTAAATCTTGTGTTCATAGCCCCTGATGTTGTAAATCAAATCATGTTTCCAAATTCCAAAGCAAAAATTAATTTTCCAATGACTTTTTTATAAAGTGCTGACAGGGGAGACAATTTGAAGTACCATTGTTACCTGTATCAATCATAATGTTGCAAGTCAAGGCTAAAAAAATATTTACTTATTTTAAAATGCACAATGAAAAACATCTCATGTAAAATTGAAAATACAAGAACATTCTAAAATTACTTAATTAAGGTCTGCAAATTTACACTGACCTTTTTTACATAAAATATGTATATTCCATCTAGAATTTGAAATAAAACTAAACTGATGACATATAATTTTATTTGTCCACAATGTTCATTAATCAGAGCTTTATAACAATTTGGCTATTTTTATAGACTTGTCAGAGTATTTGATCAAATTACAAAAATTACTAATTTTATTTCTTGAAAAAATAAGCACTGAGACCTTTAAATTTATGTAAATTTTACTTTTTTTATTGTAAAATATTGTAAATTACAGGTAATTCTTACAACTTGACTAAATTGTTGTTCTACATGGATGCAATTACATTTACATTTTTCCTAAAATAAAACACAACACTACATGTAGTAACAACATCCAAACACCAATTCTGATTGTTTCCTTTGTCTATAAATGTTTGAGCATATCCTTAGTCTTATATCTATAATGCTATTTTTATGAGTCAATTTTACTAAAAATAGTTAGACAAAAAAACTTTTAAAAAAATGATTTATGAATACAATAGATCCAGGTGATCCTAGTTACCTCCAAACTTCAAAAGCTTTGTTCAATCAGTATTTCAATTTTCATCATTTGACAGACATGTGAGTCACTGTATGCCCCTGCCTCAATGAGGTATAAAGAGACAGAGATATACGGTAAATGTCAACATGACAGCACTCCAACAATGAGCATAATAAATGCTTGAGTTTTAAGATGTAATGAATGGGTTATAGCACAAAAAACACTATCAAATTACTTATTTGTTCATTGTAAATAATGATTTTCTTTTAAATCTAAAAAGCAACAGTAAGCTAAAGACAGATTTATCAAGCAAATAAATAAAATATATGAACTTATTTCTAAAATTTGATCATCTCCAAAGATATTACAAGAATTTCATACTTAATATCACTGATATTACAAAACATATCCATTTTTAGCTCCAGTATTTAAAACAATATCACTGGTAGATCAATGTCAGAAAATATCAACTCTTTTGTATTTGGCAAGAAACTGTTAAAGGGTTCAGTAAAACCTTGACCTTCCCCAGTTTCTTAGCCTTATACAAAAAAAAACTGATGTTTTCTGACATTTACCTTATATCTTATATTTCTTTGCAGTAGGTTTTAAAGATGCACACTTCAAATCAATTTTACTTATTTAAAATGGCTGGATGCAGACGACTAATTTAAAAAAAATTGTAACATTTTTTTCTTGTGGATTTGCCTTTAAAAAAAGTCCTATTTTTTTCTTAAGTAGCATGCTACCAATTTAAAAAGAATTGACCACTTGCAGGAATCTGTGGCTTCTAATGTAATAAAAAATACACATGATTCCTTATCTACAGAAAAAAATCAATTTCCGTAATAAAAGTAGGTTCCTATTCTTACTGGCTTTGTTTATAATAAAAATTGTGCATGAAACTTACTAAACATCAGATGTTATTTTAAATAAAATGCTCCGCTGGGGCGCAGCTTGATACGACCGCAGAGGTCGAACCCTGAACAGTTGGGGCAAGTATGGACACAACATTCAAGCTTGATACAGCACTGAATTTGGATTGTAATTAAATATTTGACACAGCATAGGTTTCTGACACAGAATGAAAGTGGTCTAAGAACTTAAAAATTTTCAATTTACCTATTCATACATGTGATGGACTGTGAAACTCAGATCAGGAGATTGGGAAATTTTGGTCAGGAGATTAGGACTCAGATCAGGAGGTTTTTAATCGACATTAATTTTGTTGTAAATGTAACCGTGTGCTGTAAAAATGGTCTTTTAAAGTGTGTTTTCTTCAACTTTCCAACCAATTTATTATGTTTATAGTACCCTTGTACTTATAAAGTTTCTCCATCTTTATATTCTACATGTTCAATCTAACATTGTTTTTTTCCAGTATGTTCTTTAAATTTTTTACTTCATATTTTATAAAACAATCATTGCAACCAGAACATTTGTTTAGCTGTCTGCAAATAGTTTTTTTTTTTTTTTTTTTCTCTTGCAAATAGTTTTTATTTGCAAACTCAGAAATTCATTCTATCTGTAAAGTTAGGGTCATAGTTATTATATAAATTTCAATTTAAGCCTTAAAAGGAAGTATAGAATCCTCAAATAATTTTCAAATTATTATTTTTTTATTTGTCCTAAGACATTTAAAATCATTCAATAACCATCCTTTTATGATTATTTGTTCAATTTATATTTTATTTATATTCTTTTAAAAATTTTCATTAATAAAAGGAAAGTAACTTAAAACAGGATAAATCAAGGGAAGTAACCCAATAAATACACAGTTTTTGTTACACAACGGCAGTTAGCATGAGGTAAAAATCGTTGCTTACCAGTATGTTTGACACCCAAGCTGACAAGTGAAGCCATATAATTATGCATGTTAATTGATTTACAGGTAAAATATAACTTCAGGTAATGTCAGTTACACCAGATGCCTGAGATGTTATGTTGGGCAGAAATTTTTCATTCATGAATAATTTCATACACGGGATTTTTTCAACGGGAGGGGGGGGGGGAGGAGACCCCTGAAAACAGGATTATTGTACTCCCGTCGGGAGGTTCACATGTATGCCTATTCAAACCATATCATTATTATTTGCTTTTATATATAAATCAGAAATAACCAATTTAAAATGGAAAATGTTAAAGAAAAAAAAGGAAAAAAAAAATCCCCCCCCCCCCCAATTTTTTGAACCCCCTTATGATTCATCGCCCCAAAACTCAATCCCAGCTTTCCCTTTGTGGTATGGTACCTTGCAGTACAATTTCAGAGAGATTCATACACTTGAACACAAGTTATTGTCTGGAAACTAGAAAAATGCTTGTTTTTTGGCCCCAAATTCCTAAACGTTTAGGGCAATTACCCCCAAACTCAATTCCAGCTTTCCCTTTGTGATATGGAACCTTGCAGTACAATTTCATAAAGATCCATACACTTACACACAAGTTATTGTCCTGAAACTAGAAAAATGCATGTTTTTTTTGCCCTTTTATGGCCCCTTATTACTAAAATTTTGAGGGAAAACCCCCAAAATCAATCCCAGCCTTCCCTTTGTGATATGGAACCTTGTAGTACAATTTCATAAAGATCCATACACTTACAAACAAGTTATTGTCATGAAACTAGAAAAATGCTTGTTTTTTGCCCCTTTTTGGCCCCTAATTCCTAATATTTGGAGGAAATTACCCCAAAAATCAATCCCAGTATACCCTTTGTGATATGGAACCTTGTAGTACAATTTCATAAAGATCCATACACTTACAAACAAGTTATTGTCATGAAACTAGAAAAATGCTTGTTTTTTGCCCCTTTTTGGCCCCTAAGTCCTAAAATTTGGAGACAATTACCCCCAAAATCAATCCCAGCATTCCCTTTGTGATATGGAACCTTGTGGTACAATGTCAGAGAGATCCATACACTTACACACAAGTTATGTCTGGAAGTTACAAAAATGCTTATTTTTGGCCCCTTTTGGCCCCTAATTCCTTAACTGTTAGTACCATAACCCCCAAAATCAATCCCCACCTTCCTTTTGTGGTATTGAACCTTATGGTAAAATTTCAATGAGATCCATTCACTTAAACTAAAGTTAGAGTGCGGAAACTAATGTGTATTCGGACGACGACGCCGGACGACGACGACGACGACGACGACGACGACGACGCCAACGTCATACCAATATACGACCACAAAAATTTTTTTGCGGTCGTATAAAAAAATGACCATCTGAACTTCTAAATATCACAGGTTTCTCTGGGAACATATACATGTATACAACAACTAAAAAGATTCTACTTTCCATCTATTTTCAACATAGAAATTACATAATAGCAAAATATTATCAGCATGTCTATAAAAGTCCAGTTTGATTTCAGTCTATGTCCCATGATGTATTGCATCTTATTGAAATATCATAATGCACAGCATCATGTAAATTGTCCCATGATGCACTAGCATCATACTTTAATCCCACAATGCACTAGCTGTCTATCTTCACAAAAACTTTTGGTTTTGAAAAGATCTTCTTTCCCTCGTCAATTTCTGATAATTTTGCCTCTAATTCTTGTTTTTCTGTCCTTAATCTAAACGTATCCATTCGTAACGGGAGGGCAGATAACAATTTCATCAGTTCCCTTTCTCCTGTAATACAAATTAGTCATATGCAATATGGAAATAGAAATACCTCACCACCCAAAAACTTTTGTCTCTATTCACAGTACACAGATATCTGTATACAGAAACTTTTAAAGAAGGGTAATATTAAAAGTAAATTGTATTTGAATTTTTTTTTTATATATTTAAGACAATTTATGCTGTATAAATTTACCAATGGAGTTAAAAATTAAATGAAAAAAATACACCATAGACAAAGCAAAATTCTATAGCTCTGAAACAATACATCCTTGTTCAGTTTTCATCTCAGCTACCAGTAACTATTCAATCATGCTAAAATGACATCAAAGCCATAACATTGCTTGTTGCAAGGTTTTATATTCCTATGAGTTTTTTTTTAGCAGTTCCAGGTTAAGTAATATGGCACTTTATCAAAAATCTGTTTTTAATTTTGTTGCAGGCAAGACACATCTCTGTGCACACAGTTTTATTTACTTTTAAGTACTGTCAATTCAGATATTATTGTGATGTTTTTATTAATGTGAAAAATGTTACAGTATCAGGTATGCAATAATAATAAACTGTTATCACAGAGATATGTCTCGCCTTTTTGTAATTTTGATAATGCAAATGTTGAAATTAAAATAGCAATACTTTAACATGTAAGTTATGCAAATATTCAAAGTCGATGAACCATGACTGAAGGTACATGGCTAAACAATCTCCATGGAATGAGATGTGCCAATGCTAATACAACTGCATACCAAATACCATTGACTTATTATAAGTCGTTCCCTTTAAACAAACCTAAACACAAACATTAACTTGTAAACTATGTAAAAGTTCCAAAGTCAATGAACCATGATCAGGGGTGGGGCTATATAATCTCCATGGAAACAATACTTGCAAATGCCAATAAATTTGCATACCAAATTTCATTGACTTAACATTAGCAGTTCATCTTAAACTGATCTAATCACAAACTAATATTGTAAACTAAGCAAAAGTTTCAAAGTAAATAGACCATGACTGAGGGGGCGGGATCACATATTCTCCGTGGAAATGAGATGTGCTAATGCTTATACAACTGAACACCAATTAACATTGGCCTACCACTAATGGTTCCCCTTGAACTGACCTAATCACAAACTAATACATGTTAACTTAGCAAAATTTTCAAAGTCTATAGACCATGACTTAGGGGGTGGAGCCAAATAATTTCCATGGAAATGAGATATGCCAATGCTTATACAACTGCATACCAAATATCATTGACCTACCACTAGTGGTTCCCCATAAATTGACCTAATCACAAACTAATACATGTAAACTATGAAAAGTTTCAAAGTCAATTGACCTTGACTGAGGGGACGGGGCCAAATAATCTCCATGGTAATGAGATGTGCCAATGCTAATACAACTGCATACCAAATATCATTGACCTACCACTAGTGGTTCACCATGAACTAGACCTAATCACAAACTAATACATTGCCGGAAACAGCATACCTATGTCTCACTTTTTGGCTCCGTCAAGGCAAGTCAAAAACTTGCATTCATAATTTCAGAAGATATTTTCCTTCATAACATCTTTGACATCGCATCAATTAGATTTCACATTTTTTCCAGAGATCAAGGATTATGCAATTATAAATGCATGCATTAATTTCTGAATTATATAGTACTTATGTACTTCTACAGATTGAGGGTCTGAATTCAGCAAATTTATGGCCTGGTACCATAGCTGAATCATGTGTTTAAGCTATTCTACAAGTATGCAGTACTTACTTTCTTTCAACAAATTGAGGGTCTTCAGTCTCTCATTTTCAGGTAAAACTTTATGCCCTGGTGGCATAGCTGGATCAGGTGTGTTAGCTATTCTATCTTCTTCATCTTTCTTCCATTGATCTTTTCTATTTATTAAACTGAAAGCAAGAAATATAAAATTTAAATATCTGTTATCACTTTTAACACAAATACATATGGAAAATATTTTTTTCAAATGGCAAACGAATTTCTGTAGATATCCATAAAGCTAAGCATCCTCGACCTAAGACATGACCTTTGAAGTTTTGACCCAAGAAATGACCTTTGAAGCTTTAAGGTACTTTCTGGTGAGATACACATCCTGAATCAAATTAAGGTGGTCCATGTATCTGGCCAATGTTGACTGATGTAATAGATCAGAGCTTGTTAATTTTCTATTTGTCTGATATTTTTACATCAAGTGTTTACTATAAATACTAAGTTGAATTTCATGGAATTTAAGGGCCAATATTGACCCTAAGTGAACCTGCTTTTTCACTTGTTTATTTTTTCTTATCTTTTTTCATTGTTTTATATTTTATAGTTACCATGGATTCATTAATCTTTGTATGTTTCAATTTTCATGGATTGAGGAAAAATTCAATTTTCATGAATACTTTATTTCATAGATTAAATCATTTTTTTCATACATGGCTATAGGAAATTTGTATATTGTCAAAGACTAAAAAAGTCATAGTTCATGAACTTTTATAAACTTACTAGTGAGGTACCACTCCTTTCTTGTATCGTTTTAACTCATCATCTTGTTTTTTCTTCAATTCATCCAAATTTGTTAAACTTGGACTCTTGAACATTTTAGAATTCCTTGCTGCAATACCATTGACTTTTATAAAGTCAAAATTATGTCTCGTTAACTTAACCTAAAAAGATAAGCATAATCACAATCTTTTATTCATTAGTACATTTGTTGTGAAATTCCATATAATATGGTTTGATATTTTTAGTGCTCCTACCAGAAATTTTGTTTTCTTTTTGTTTATCCTCTGATTTTACAAATTTTAGGATGATAGTGTGAGACGGAGATAATGGGTTGAGACAATGTCTGTCAGTTAACTCAACACATCATCAACAAATTGGAAGAACATCTTTTTTCTTATCATTTCTTTCTTTGAGTTCATGTAAAATTTGTATACAAATCAAGCATATTAAAGAGCCAGTAGCTGTAAGACAGAAAGCATAAGTATTTAACACCAGAGAGAAAATTCTATTTTTAAGGTTTAAAACTTATTTACATCACTTGCTGACGATGCTATTGGAATGGTCAGTTTTCCTTTTGGTGGCTCAGCAGAACATGGTCTATTCTGTACTGGGATAGCTGGGGGTCCCATCCTGGAATGTGCTCTTAGGAAATTAGCTGAACTTGGTCTTGGAGTTGCTGGTTCTTTCTGTCAATACATAATCACACCCATAGATATGTTCTTTTAATAAATTTTTCAAGGCCTTTAAAACATTACTATACTGCTAATGATGAGTAGTTTTTACTACAGGTGTTATGATTCACTAAATTGCAATGAATCATGGTTGTTTTCTTCACAGTTTGATTGATAATACATAATTCAAAAGGTGCTTACAGTGTGATGATATTTTATGTTGACTCCATGATGAAGACATAATCTTTCAATCAGTTTAATTGAAGTCTGGAGCTGGCATGTCAGTTAACTGCTAGTAGTCTGTTGTTATTTATGTATTATTGTCATTTTGTTTATTTTCTTTGGTTACATCTTCTGACATCAGACTCGGACTTCTCTTGAACTGAATTTTAATGTGCGTATTGTTATGCGTTTACTTTTCTACATTGGCTAGAGGTATAGGGGAGGGTTAAGATCTCATAAACATGTTTAACCCCGCCGCATTTTTGCGCCTGTCCCAAGTCAGGAGCCTCTAGCCTTTGTTAGTCTTGTATTATTTTTAATTTTAGTTTCTTGTGTACAATTTGGAGTTTAGTATGGCGTTCATTATCACTGAACTAGTATATATATTTGTTTAGGGGCCAGCTGAAGGACGCCTCCGGGTGCGGGAATTTCTCGCTGCATTGAAGACCTGTTGGTGACCTTCTGCTGTTGTCTGTTCTATGGTCGGGTTGTTGTCTCTTTGACACATTCCCCATTTCCATTCTCAATTTTATTCCAAAAGACACTTCTTTCACTTACCTTTTCAATGCATTTTTAAAAGAAAATAAAACTAAAACAACTTCAAAAGAAAATAAAACTAGGCTCATTTCAGTCAAGTCAGTATATGTGCCCCCCCCCCCCCCCTCCTTTAAAAATCTCATTTTAGAACCCTTCACATAATTTACTAAATGATGCCTGACATAAAGGTACAGGGGTATGTGTTGCAGTTTTCTTTCATAATATGTATGGAACTTTTTTAGCTTATCGTACCTCTTGTAGTTCAATTAGTTATTCAAGTAATTTAGGATTTGCCACTACTATATATATGTGGTATATCTTGTGGTTGTTACCAAATAACTGTTATGATGTTTAGAAGAGGCATGTTACTATATGAAGTGGCTGGACTCTCTATATAATGGCAGTTTACATTAAATTACATTTATTCCACGATGAAAATTATTGGAATGGTTTAAATTTTTATAATTAAATAGTGCAAAATCCTAAATTCACTATTTTAAGTGCAGTATCTCAGGTTTGTTGTCTCATATACAAATAATATTTTTTAAACATGGTTGCTTAAGTTTTTTATACATCGAATATATATATATCCTTGATCATGAATTGTAATTACCTGAATGTCGTCTTTAATCTTTGATGTGACAGTGCTGTATTTCTCTGACTTCCACAAAGCTTTAACCGGCTGATGAGATTCATTTTCTTTCTGTTTACTTTGTCTCTGAATCGATCTGATTCTTCTCATGTTCTCAGCATAATGATTCTTTGACCTTGAGTCTAAAAATAACAAAATAAAAAATTTACACTGAAAGTACATTTATTTTAGGGATGTATAAATTCCCTGTCACATCCTGTCTGTGTTTTTGCATGTTTTGTTTGATGTTTTTATGTTTTGTATCAATCTGATGAGTTAAGCCCTTTTCAACTGATTTTTTATAGTTTGTCCTTATGTTGTACTGTTACACCACTATCCCAGATTAGGAGAGGGTTGGTGCCTTCAAACATTTTTTTAACCCAACCACATTCTATATGTGACTGTCCCAAGCCAGGAGCCTGTAGTCCAGTGGTTGTCGTTGATTCATGTCTCTCATATTTGTTTTGTAGCTCACCAAAGGCTAATATGCCTGACCTTAATCACAATTCTTGTCAATAGTTTACTTCTGTTATTTAGGAAATTTGGTTTTGATGACAGATCTTTAATATTAACAGGCTAAACTAATACATTTCTTACACATAGCTTCCTAGAGGATGAATAAACTTAAAAATCAATTACCTGGTCTATAATGATTTTGCAGGTTACTAAAACCTGCACCTTGTAATGAGAAGGTATTTGGTGTATGCGTTTTCATTCTAAAACCCTGGAAGATTTAAGGTTGTGCTGTAAAATATCTACAAAAGAAAAACCATATTCAATAGGTCAGTAGTTTTTTCATGCATTATCTCCCATTTTGGTACATTCTTTAAGCTTGAACAGAAAATTTTTACATATTACTTCAAAAGTAATTTATTCAAACACAGAGCACTTGAAAAGTGTTATTTTTCTCTGTTTGGCAGATAAAAATTAAACAAAATTAACCAATACTTTGGTCCAGGTGTCCTATAGTATAATTCCAGTGATCATTCTATTTTGGGGATATGTATGTCTGCTCTTGGTAGAAGTGTGTAACAATCAGGTTTTCCCCAGTAATATTAGATAAAACACATAGGGTCTGTATAATAACAATAATCACAAGGCCTCTTTACCTATAAAATTTCATTTTGCAGCCAAACATGACATTAAGAAGAAAAATGACATTCGATAGAAACAAAGGTTGACCGACCAAGAGAGTCAGATATAGTCTGTAGTGTACGTACAGGTCATATATTTAGCTTAAAAATGATATTCACGCAAAATCTCCCTTTCAACTTTCATAGCTGAGGGGGAGATCTTCTTCATTGAAGGTTTTAGAGGTTGGCAGGTATGCAAAAGGCAAAAATATAGACAATGTTACAATTTCAATACATAAAACATCAACCAAAAGTTTTAGGTAATTTTGGTACATTTGTACTTGAAAGTATTGAATTAAAGTTTTTTGGTAAACACTTAATCTAGTCATTTCCTGTTTGCATATTGATCATACTTTTACTTTATACTAAAACATATTATACGATTTTCAACACATTAGCAATGCAAAGTAATCGGAACTAGTAAAAATGTGCCTTGACAAATAAATATAAGCACATTAAAACATAGACCTTATCGCTATTTGGAATATGCAACACTTTTAACGTTTGACCTCATACAACAATCACTTTTCCTTTGTTGTGTCTAACATTTTCTCCAGTAACGTCAAAATTTTACTGGAACCTCTGCAATGTCCAGTACTGGTGGACAAATAGCGATAAAGTTTATTCGACCAAACATTCTTTTAAAATTCCAGTTTAAGCGTGAATGTAAAGTCAACAGTGGAAACCGTTGGCAGTGAAAATTGTTATACGCACGAAAACATATCATAACGAGGATATACACCATAGGAGAGCTATTAAAATCTGGATTCCATTTTTTCATACATGTTTAGCATATATCAGCAGTTTTAAATGAAGATAAACATTGTGACCACCAGAATCAGGTTAACCAAGTTTATATTGTATACATGGACAACAGATGAATAAATATCTACTTGGAGAGAATTTGGTATTTGATTTCTGAACATGTTCCTTTTTATCTGTAGAATTTACTAGAAATTAAATTAATTCAATTAATAATAATGAATTATCCTGTCTATAATTACAAAAATAAATTAAAATCAAATTGATGTCATAGACAAAACTGGATTACGAATGTAAACAGTGAATTGTTTGAACTATTGTCGAACTCTGGTTGTCTTTTGAAGCCTTTGTGACGTTTCAAGAATCACTGAAAAATTATGGGTTTGCTGCAGTCAGATTCAGACTTGGACGAGCTCTGTCATTTAGAGCTTGCTGCATCACAATGGTGAGAATGAATTGCATATTGTATGTCTTACATAATTACTTTATTTTGTTCCTTCTTCTGTCATGCGATAAACAGATGTTTTGTTTCGCAATTGACCAAAACGTGTGTTGACAAGGTAAACTATCGGCAGGACTCCATGATAAATTGTTTTGGGTCACGTGATGTTCGAATTTTCAATATTTTTTTATTCATATTTCTTTTTTTTATATAAAAATAACCGGGATTTTTTTCCTTATAAGCAATGGGATTGTGTAATTATTTAATATTTTTAATATATTGGCTCGAGAAATTACGATACCTGTTCGTCTCCATGAAAACTCAAACATCCGGTTTATAAAAAATTGTGCCCGAAATAGTAAAGTGTTTAGAGATTCTAAATAACGAACTATGTAGCATTTATTTGGTTCTGGTAGTGTTCTGAATTTAAGAAAACGTTAATCAATCTGTAGCAACAATGTCAAGAGCTGCGGTATCTAAATCTCGAGCTGACAAGGGCTCTAAACCAGCCCCAGCCCACACTCCAGTCGTTGCTCATGAAATTGTACCAGGAAAATTCAATGATCAGGACTGGTTTGTATAAATTATTTCAACCTTAAATATACAATAATATCCACAGACATTGACTAGATTATATAATTGCTGAAATTTCCACTGAACTCAAAACTCTTATATATGCACAAATTTTTAACAGGGGGTTTCTAGAAATGTGCTAATAAGACACTTGCCCACTACAACAAGTTAACTTGATCTTACCAAGCCAACTCATACCAAATTTGCAAACTCTTATCATTAAAACTTGTAAATTAACTGCTTTAGTAGTCTAGTTTGTGGTATTTTGCTCGCCTCGAGTGCAAGAGGTAGAGGGTTCAAACCCTGGTCGGGTCAAAACAAAGACTTAAAAAATGGGTATTTACTGCTTTTCAGCTAAGTACACTGCATTTAGAACTAAGAGCAAACAAAGACTGGTCGGCTCCAAGTCTGAATGTGTTAAGGTAGGGTAACATGTCTTCCTAGGGACTGTTACCTTATTGGGAACCAGCATGTGAAAAATCTGGCTCAGCATGTAAGTCTAGTAATAAGCTGGGTTTATATTCAGATCATATTATCATGTTCTCATCCTGAATATGCATTTAATTTGCCACTGGACGTAAACAGCCATCCATCTATCTATCAAACTTGTACCATAAAAAAGTGATCGATCTGCAAATGTTTTATTAATTGTCTTTTAAATACTCAAAACAATAACAATTTTTAATGAAATTTTAATTGCATGTACTGAAGTTGACCTGAATTAATTCATGGATTGGTCTAAATTGATTACCATTGAATAAGTTAATTAAATTGGTTTTTATCTTTCTTTCTATTACTATTCTAATTTTTGACAAATCAAATTTTTTATTATTCCTTTGATTGTTCAATAATACATGTATATAAATATAAGTGTATGTTTTTGAAAACATTTTAATAAGACATGTATGGAACATGTATTCAACAATTTGGTCAACCATCTACCTATGTTTAAATGAAGTGGATGTAGGCAATTGTAGGCAATTTTTTTGTAAACATGTTATTTACCAATAGTTTGAAAATTGCTGTCAGTGCAAAAGGCAAAGCATGATATAACCTACATTTTAATTTGTATTTGTAAAAAAAAATGAAAAAAATATATGCATGTACATGACATGATTCAATATTTGTAATCTACCTTTATACATTGAAGTTCACATTTTATTTTATTTTTGGAGTGTTATTTTACAAACGGAAAGTTACATAATTTTTTTATTTATCATTCTTAAAGATTGAATTTAATTATTGTTAATTTAAGGTTTACACTGCAAAATAATAAACATCACTAAGCTAGATTCGTATCATTTCTATTAGCACAACACATTTAAATTTACATTAATTGTGATGATTGGAACCAAGCATGATAAGAAACTTCAAATGTCTAAAATAAATTACAAACAATCATAGTAGTAGGGGCAATCCTTTTCGGATACATGTATTTAGTTATAAAAGTGAGGTCCTCAAAACAAATCTGCTGAGGCCCAATAAGTTGGTGTTCATTCACCAAATATATTTACATGTAAACACTGTAAACTTATTGTATCAAAATTTTATCCCACTGATAGGGCCCGGTAAGTATGACATAATGTTAATTTTTGCTGAACTGTGCTGGTTCTTTATTTTTAACACAGTTCAGACATGTTTGTTAACTTTGTTTTGTTTGATTTATATTAGTATATGTTTGTCTTTAAAATCATTGACACTTCTATGTTCATATACATGTATGAAGTGAATAAGAAAATTGAGCAACAGCTGACTTTATACAGGGGATAACAGCTGACTTCATACAGGGGATAACAGCTGACTTCCTACAGGGGATAACAGCTGACTTCCTACAGGGGATAACAGCTGACTTCCTACAGGGGATAACAGCTGACTTCCTACAGGGGATAACAACTGACTTCCTACAGGGGATAACAGCTGACTTCCTACAGGGGATAACAGCTGGACTTCCTACAGGGGATAACAGCTGGACTTCCTACAGGGGATAACAGCTGACTTCATACAGGGGATAACAGATGGACTTTATACAGGGGATAACAGCTGGACTTTATACAGGGGATAACAGCTGACTTCATACAGGGGATAACAGCTGACTTCCTACAGGGGATAACAGCTGGACTTTAACAGCTGGACTTTATACAGGGGATAACAGCTGACTTCATACAGGGGATAACAGCTGACTTCCTACAGGGGATAACAACTGGACTTTATACAGGGGATAACAGCTGACTTCATACAGGGGATAACAGCTGACTTCCTACAGGGGATAACAGCTGGACTTTATACAGGGGATAACAGCTGACTTCATACAGGGGATAACAGCTGACTTCATACAGGGGGTAACAGCTGACTTCATACAGGGGATAACAGCTGACTTCATACAGGGGATAACAGCTGACTTCATACAGGGGATAAAAAAGTAAGAATATACCAAGGGGGCAATAACCAAAATGATTGAGAGACATTGGGAAAGTGAAAAAAGAGTAACCGTCAAACAAAAGTTCACAAAACATTACACAAAAAACCGAAGATTGAGCAACAAGAACCCTACCAAATAGAGGTGGAACTGATATGCTCCTTCAGGTAAATCAGTCCTGCTTGGAGTCTGCTCCACAATTGGCAGGAATCATTTTGCTCAAATTGTATCTGGTCATCATCAAAAAAGAAAGTTATGATAAAATAGGTAACTCTTTACCATCAAGGTGTTTGGTAAGACTGTCCATATCATCTATTCCAAACAAAAACTTTAAAAAATAAGTTCCTGTGTGATATAATGTCATTAGTCACAAAAGGCCCTTTCATGTGTACTTCAAGCATGCCCTGAGCATTTAGTGAGCAAGGACTTCCATATAGTATAATATATATAATACTACATTTTACTGAAAAAATTAAGAGTTGTGGTTATTTAAAGTTGTACAGGAAAATATATAGCATTTCTAAGTGAAAGTGTTTACCTTCTACTTAGAAATTAATTTAAAAGAAACTGTGACTTTTAACACAGGTTTATTGTTAAACATAAATCTGTCGAATAACTTAGAATTGACCTGGTGACCATAGACAATTTTTAAAAGTGACCTTGTGACCAAAGGGGGTACCCTACTGGGGCCTCATGTATACATTGATGTTGATAAATCTAGTTTGTCTAACAATAATGCTGTTGCTGTATTTTCTGGTTTGCCTTTAATACTAACAATCATATTTCCTCAAATGACCCCAAAAGTACAAGACATCACAAAAAATTGTATTTCTAAATTCCCTTTTATAAAGAAATATAAAATCTGAAACCTCCTTTGTGATGGCTTTGCTATTGCTTGCTGTGCTCAATGTAACTAATGATAAATTATCATAGTAATGTTATTATCTTATTGCTTATACATCTATTTTCTGATTCAGTTTTTATGTTCGGAACAGTTCCTGCTCTATTTAACCACTGAGTTTAATATGAATTTTTAGAAAAAAAAATCAGGAAAGAGAATCTTTTGAATTTATTCACAAAATATTAACACTTGCCAACGTATGGTTGCTGTCTTATTGATGGCAGTATAATTCTTATTTATTTAGTGTATATACAGGTATGCTGAATATACTGAAATGTATTTGTATAAGAATTGTAATGTTTTTTCGGGATAAATTAAGAAGCTTATCATATAGAAATTTTTGTAAAACAAATATTAAACAAAAATTTATATGTATCTGTATTTAAGCAATTGTTTATACTAAAATTCAAATTTGAGAATTTAAAAAAAAGTACAAAGGGTAATTAATATTACATACTCAAAATAAAATTTAAAAATGCATAAAAAGTAAGATGATTGTTAATTTTTGTAATTTTAGGACCTGGATGTTGGATAAAGATGGAGCAGAAGATTTCATTGAGGATATTGTGGAAGAAATAGTTGATACATCACTAGATAAAATTTATAAATTATATTTAGATAGACAGTTATTACCATTCACTGTTACCATGGCAAAGGATGCTATCCTTCAAGTTATAGAGGTAAATACCATAATTTGAGGTTCCTAACTACCGTATTTTGATTTCTTTAATATTACAATTTTGAATTTGTCATTTTTACAGTAAGAGGTTTTGTATCTGCATCAGAAAGATATAAATCTTTTTGCTACTGTACATGTATAATAATAAATAATTTACACCTTATCTTTTCTTTAAAAAAACTTGATATCCATACTTTTCTGTCATGTCGAAAAAAAACCAATGATAATAAATCTTAGTTTGGCTGAGCTTAGTAAGAAATAGTCTAATTACCAATTTGATTCTGTTATTTCACAATTTAATGCAATTTTTTTCCCTTCGCCAAATGTAAGCTGGATCTATTTTGGCAAAGTGGGCTTCTGCCCATGCAAAGCTTGATAAGTTGAAAGTGATATATATATATATAGGTGTTTTAACCAATTTTGATAGAAAAATAACTATTGATATCAAATGTTTTAGCTTAACAAAAGATTAAATGTAATTTATAGATTTGAAAACTTAAAGATTACACACATTATGCACAGATAAAATTTGCTCTTTGCTCTAGCTCATTGTTGAAAATGAAAATGTGATTCCCTCCCTATAAGGGAAACAACTTGTACAAATGGATCTTTAATTACAGGGTCAATTTTGGAATTGGTGAATAGACTATTTGGTATGTCGGTGACCAGTTGATAATTTCAAGAAAAAATGAAAATTTTTTGTTTATAATATGTAATTGAGGCTAGTGTTTTTTATTGTTATCTACCCTAAAACTTTCTTTTTCTACAGTGGCAATTTTTATCAAGAGATGAAGGAGAGACAGAACTTGAATCAACTGGAGAAGGATGGATAGAAGACGAAGGTATAGAATAACAGCCAAAGTTTTACATGTGTTAAACAATTTTCTTGTTTTCAGATTGAATATCAACAAAAAAATGTTTATCATTCATACACAAAGCACACAAGATGAAAAAGAACAAAGCAAAACAGAATTCATAAAAAATGTTAAAAAAAAAACTTTTTGTGGTGTTTTAATTAATGTAAAAATTTCAATGGGATAAGTTTCGCAAAAATAAAAACTTGCATTATTTCTATGCAGCATTGCCTGAGTTTGTAATTATATTGTTTTTAACAATCCCAATAATAAATTCATACAAAAACTTTTGAATTTTCAGTATGTTCAGATTCTGACAAAAAAATAGATGCCTTTTATATGATTTAAAACACTTCACTGCATAGCTTTTAGTTAATAGCTATCAGCAAGTCTCTTTATAGCAAAATAGAAATATAAGTTAGATGTACATGGTACAAAAACTGTGGGCTAAAATAATAATAATTTTGTTCTACAGAACCAGATGCTGCTACAACAGACTGTTGGGCACAAGGTTCAGTACCTAAAAATATAATACCAAAACGTCCAATCTCACCTGTGGCAGAGGAGTTTGATGAACATCCAGACGTAATTGATGAGGAACCGCCATCTCTGTAAGTTCAAAATTTTTGAAAGTTAAAAATTTTAAATGTTTTTAGATGCCAAAATATATGAAAATTAAAAATTAATCCAAATACCCTGTGACTTCAACTATTGAAAGCTTTTCATGCTTGCAACATTCCTAAAAATAAATAACTTTTAAAGATATTTCAAATATAAAAGTCATTTTTAATTAGGAAGTAAAGAACTTTTAATGAGAAGACTGGCCATGAATATCAAGGGATACCAGTGATTTAATTTAAGTACTTTAAAAAAAAATTGTTAATGAATTTTCTTGTTTTTTAAAGAGACATTATTAAATGATGTCTTTTCTTGAGTTTTATTTTTATTTTTTACTTTTTAAGAGGAAAATTAAGAGATTTAAGATTATTTTTATGGTCTTCTTCCATTTCTAGTGATGAAGAAAATACTAAAGTTACAGAAGAACCAGAGGAACTTGAAGATAAAGTTTCAGATGATGAAAAACCAGAAGAAGAAGAAAAGAAGGCAGAACCAGTACAGGTGACATTCATTTACAATTTGATATCTTTGCAAAAGACAAAACTTTTCAATCTAAGCTCTTACTTCAGTTTCTTTGTCAAGGGCAATCATCTGATTCAAAGGGAATTCTTTCCAGTTTTAATTGTAAATTGCAATTGCAAATTTCTAAAATTATCTCCCTTTCATGGAAAAAAAATGGAATACTAAATATGAACTCAACAATAATAATTAATAAACACAAACAAATTAAAACCTATATTTATAAACTGTTTCAAAATTGACAAAAATCATGTGAATATTTGAACATAATTTCATTTTAAAATTTATTTTCAAACTTTTTCAGTGCCAAATTATCTCCCCTAGTTAAAAAAGGATTAGTATTAATAACATGTCTTTTCATTCAATCACACATGTGAATTATTAACTATTGCTCAGAGAAAATGAAATAGATAATGTAAGAAAATTGATTTTGATCAGTTTTAATATATGCAAATTTTATGGTTTACATAAAGTATGTCACATTCTTGGATATCTTTATTTTAAAGTTGAACTAAATTTTGAAATAAAACTATTTTGTATAGTGGTTAAAAGGTTTTTATTTTGTACATTGCTTCTTGAATATGATGCTTTACTTTGATTTTCAGTGACACAATCATATATATTGATCTGGAAGAAAAATTTGTGGAAAAATTTGAATACATGTATTGTAAGAATTATTGCTTTATGAAATTATTCATGTTTTAAATATTTCTTTTCTAATTGTTCGTTTAGGAAACAAAGCAGAAAAAGAAGACTAAATTCAAGCCATATACAGGTCGTCTCAAGTCTGCAAGTGTTAGTCAGATGACCCAGTCATTAGATGATAGTGAAATGAGTATGGTTGCTGCTCAATTGAAAGCCTCTTTCCAAGAACAACAGGGAAATCTTAGTGGTCTTGTCAATATGCCAGCATCATGTCATTCAATATTAAAAGTATGTTGTACTGTATAGAAAAACTAAAAAAGCTTAGATATGATGATAGATGTATAATAAATGAATGAAACTGAGGTGGAAAATATTTATAAAATAGATTTTAACAACAACCAAAAATTAGAAATTCATTTACAAAATCAAGTTGAATATGGAAACATACTGTAAATGCAGAAATTATTGTGAGGTTTTTATTAATGCGAATAATGCGACTGGGTGAGTATCACAATGATAAGAAGTCGCATTCTGAAATTTGATACATATATCTCTATGCAGATAATTCTAAATTCGCAATAAATAATCTCACATTTTTGTCCATTCCTCAAAAATCGCAATAATAAATGCACACAATAATTTCTGAATTTACAGTAAATGAAAACCTATTTTTGAAAAAAACATAGATGCTCTTTTATTTAAAGGAATAAAGATAAATATGTACTATATTAGTGTATTGTGAACACATATTTATTTTTCAATCATCAAATGTATTTGTACAAAAACCTATGCTTACTACTTTAAAGAGAGGAATTTTTGCAAGGGATTTGTTTTCACATATTGGCAAAACTATCCCCTTGGGTAAAGACTATCAGAATTTTATATTGTTACAAATTGTAAAATATTTGTTTAGGTACAAGCTGGACGCCCACCTGGAAATAAGGATGTTCTGTATGATGACAGGGGAAATGTCGTGGCTGTTGTCAAATTAAATCCTGACAGATTACCTTCACATAGGTAAGTTAACAATTCAAATTAAATCCTGACAGATTACCATCAAATAGGTAAGTTAACAAGTCAAATTAAATCCTGACAGATTACCATCACATAGGTAAGTTAACAAGTCAAATTAAATCCTGACAGATTACCTTCACATAGGTAAGTTAACAAGTCAAATTAAATCCTGACAGATTACCATCACATAGGTAAGTTAACAAGTCAAATTAAATCCTGACAGATTACCTTCACATAGGTAAGTTAACAAGTCAAATTAAATCCTGACAGATTACCTTCTCATAGGTAAGTTTACAAATTCATCGACATATATTTTGACAATCTGTTTTGTCTGTCATGGCACCACAAAAAATCTTATGTTTTGATCCTTTTTACACTATATGACAGTTGCATATGAAAAATGTCTGCTTTTCAACAGAACTTTCTTTTTTTTCCTGCATCACTGAAGGAGAATGCAGGTCTAGAAATCTCTTGACTCCATCTGTCAGTCAAAGTTTTTTTTAGCTTTTATGAAAGGGAATGATTTAATATTTGGTCTGCAGCTTGATAATGTTGAGTTGTAAAGAGAAGGCAATTTTGACATCTGCTGTGAAGCCCCTTCCTGTTTGTGATAGTTTGAAATTTTACACAACACTCATTGTACAAGGAAAGTTTTCTTGTCTCATTTTGAGGTGAATTATTTGAATATTTGGTCTGGGAATGATCAGTTATGCTCCAGTATACAAGTTACCTCAATCAATTGCATACAGGGACACAGGTCCAGACCTGGTATTGGTCTTGTTTAGACAGATGTTTAGTATGAGATACACAATGGTAAATATTGTGCATGATTTGGGACTGGAAAAATAGCTTGCCAACACCTTCAATATATCTCCTGAAAATCTGTTTATAGAGATTAATGAATCTTTAGTAACCAATCTTCTCTTGTTTTACAGAATAAAAGTAAACTATCAAGTAGTAGATCCCTCTGTAGAAGCTGCCAAGGCCAGACTTGATGCTATGAAACATGGAAGATATTCAGTACAGAGAATGAAGAAGAAGAAATCAGAAACAAGATCATCCATAGGTAATGAAACAGAGAGAAATTTCTAAGAATTTTTTTTTCATCAATAAAAATTCATAGTTGAACAAATTGTTCTATTGCTATGTGATAAAATGTCTTATTGAAAAGTTAGAATTGTGTACTTGTTTAGAATTGAACAAGAATTTTGAAAAATTTTCTATTATCTGTACCATTTGTTTCATCACTGAAAAAAAAATCTGTTGCGATTTAATTGTTTTTCAAATAATGAAACTTTAATCAATATTCTATACAATAGGTTTGATTTTGTAAACTTGAACTGTTTTATGTGTGACAGGAAAAGGGAGATAATTTCAGCTCAATTCACTTCTATTACAAAGCACATTTTATAAATTAATTTTATTTTTAGATACATCAACAGAATTTATGCCTAAAGAAACCAAAACACCACTGCCACCACCACTGGTATGTTTTATTTTATCGACTGGAATTTATTTATTTCCTGAATTCTAATTAGCAATGTTAAAATTTGTGGGCAAAACATTGATGTTTTTCATGCAGTAATAAATAGGTTTGAGTGGAAAAATTAGTTAATATTATTGAAATAGATTTATATTGCAAAAATATTTTTAATTTTGCTTGGCATTTCTTTTCATATTGTGTATTCTCTAGATATGAATGTGTAACCAAATTAAACCACAATAGATTTTTTACCTCACCAGTTATGCATCTGACAGTAATTAGAAAAAAACAACAATAAATCAAAGAAACTTTATTCTACCCACACTATTTTTATAGCAAAAACTAATATTTTACTCCACAAAATATCCTTCTAAAGTCATTCAATATCATTTACAAAAACAACAATATTTACAAAAACAAACATAAAACAGAATTTTCACTTAAATAAGAAAATACCTGTTTTAATACTTCTTCATAGATGAACAACTGAACATGATCAGTTATAATGAAATGTTTGTGTCTTGTGTTAATTTAGCATACATACAAGTTAATTTCTATTCACAAAAAAATTGTAGATTGAAGCTATGGAGTTGGCACCAGGTGTCACTGTGAAAGAAGGAGACAGAACAAGAAGAGGACCAGTAAGGGTATGTAAATTCTTATCTATAAGAGCTTGAGAAAAAAAAATATTTATTTGTATTTTGCCTCAAGATATAATAGAAACTTATTTCAATCAATACTATTGTTCATATAAAATATGAGTACACAGCTCTTACTATTTTTTTGAAGCAAATAGAATAAAAAGGGAGTCACTGCACTCTTTTCTCGCTACTTTGTAGAAGAAATGAATTATTCTACAGTGCAATCTTTTGTAAAATCTGGATTATCTTTCATACTATTCAGTCTTTTAACACTTTAATAATTTAAATAAAATTATGTATGTAAAAAAAGGCAATTTCTATAAGATACATTTATGTCAATTTCTTTTTTTAAATGCAAAGTCACTCAGATAATTTACATTTCTGTATAAAAAATTTGTTAATATCAGTAGCAATATCAACCAATCATTTGCCATCCAAGATCGCAATTCTCCCATACTACTTTTAAACCATCTTTTTGAAACCCAAACATACAATAACCATATTGGAACTTAAGATAAGGCAATAACGCACCACATAAGGCCAACCATGCTTAAGAATGATGAACCATGACCTTAGTATAAACTTGATAATTTATGAACAATCAATTTTGATATATATATCAACTTACACTTTCAGTAAAGTCATTTTACATGAAGTTAATGTAGAATTAGATTAAGTTCAGTTATACATTGATATTGAACCAAGTTCTAAAAATAGTCGTACAATATAAAAATAAGGAGATTTGGTATGATGCCAATGGGGAAACTATCAACCAGTGACCAAATGATGTAGATGTAATCAACTATAGTTTATTGCTTGGCCTTCAACAATGAGTAAAACCCAGACCATATATAGTAAGCTATAAAAGTTCTAAACACAACAAAATGTAAAACAGTTCAACAAGATAACTAATGGTCAATTTATGTTCAAAACAAGAAATGAAAACATGTATGTATCGAGCTTGTTTAAAAGTCAACCTTGGTATATTTATTCCAAAGGAAATGACAATTAAGTTTACATCAGCACACTTTTATTATAATTTTTGTAATATATTTTTCTGTTTTTTATTTCAGTATGTGAGAAAGGCTGATTTATTTGCTGCCAGCCAGAAGAATTTAAATCCAGTGAATCAGAATACAAAAGGACCAACATTAAATGTTGTTGACCTTCTTGATAGACATACACCGATATTGCGACCAATTAGAGACTCACCGCCCCTTCCCCCTATTGTACCACACCCTCCAAATCAAGCTAGAATAACCACGTGAATAAATATTGTACAGTATTATATTATTGATATTTATATAGTCAGACGATATGATTCGAGCACTTATTTAAAAAAATGAACGAACTGCTTTCACTGATCAGTAAGGCTTATTACTGTTTGTCAGAACTTATTGTGAAGTCTTCTGTTCAAGTGTCATATCTTTGATACTTCTAGTTGACTGTTATAAAATCTTGTCCATCAAATCTTTTGTATGAAGGTATATTTACTTATATTATACAGCCAGGATGCAGAAAAATGTAACATTGGTATTTTGAACACCTTTAGGATTGTTATTAATTTTCAAATTATTATGTTATTGAATTTACTGAAATTTCTGAATGTAGAAATCACCGAAGGACAACTAAATGTTATTTGAATTAGTCCAAATGTTAATGGTCTTCAACCTTTATACAGATTTAACTGTTACAACTTTCAATGTTAAGTCACTAAATACAAGTTTTAAATGTTTAATTGAAGGTTTCTGATGATATTGAATGATAAATGTACATGTATGTTAAGAGGGTAGACTTGGCTTTAAGGAGATAACTGTTGACATCATTAATGTGTTTGTAAAAAGCAGTTTCAGCGATGCTTTAAAAGCACTCATGTGAAACAGAATTAAGATAATCTGTATTACTTAGAAGCTTAGTATATATTTATGGAAGAGGCTGACACAAACATTCTAGTGAATAACAAGAGTTATTTCCCTTTACCTAGGTCTGACAACCAAAAGAAAAAAAACCAAATTAAATCATAACTTTAGAAGTAAGTAAATTGTAATGCTTTAGTGCTGAATTTGAATGACTATAGATAAGACCATGAACATAAAATAAACATTGTGTTGTGTGTTTTTTTAAAGAGGAAATTGTTATGAGCATTTTATACAATTATATTTAATTGTGAATATTTAATTATTAAACCTACAAATATGTATTATTTATTTTTTATTTGAAATACATTCAATCAATGAGACAGGTTTTCAGTTCTCAAAATATCAAGATAAATTTCATGCTGACTGATTGATAGATATAAGAAGATGTGGTATGAGTGCCAATGAGACAACTCTCCATCCAAGTCAAAATTTATAAAAGTAAACCATTATAGGTCAAAGTATGGTCTTCCACACGGAGCCTTGGCTCACACCAAACAGCAAGCTATAAAGGGCCCCAAAAATTACTAGTGTAAAACCATTCAAACGGGAAAACCAACGGTCTAATCTATGTAAAAAAACAAGAAACGAGAAATATTTATGAACCACATCAACAAACGACAACTACTGAACATCAGATTCCTGACTTAGGACAGGTGCAAACAATTGCAGCGGGTTTAAACATTTTAATGGTACTGATTGACTGATTGAGCATGAACAATATATTTTTGGCACAACTAAATTAGCTATTTAAAAGGTTAGATATTTCTTGCTTCACTGACTGTTGAATTTGTTTAATTTTTGTTTTCAATCATTTAATTAAAGTAGTGTGATGTGTTTTGGGTGCTTAGCCAAATGTAACAACTTTAAATTGTAACAATGTAGAAATATACTTCTGGTGTAAGTTGTGGTATGTTCAGATGAGGATACTTAACTGCTATGGCAGGAGTAACACGACAGGTGTCACATGTGGAGCAGGTTTTGCCTACCCTTTTGAAGCACCTGAGATCATCCCTGGTTTTTGGTGGGGTTGTGTTGTTCCGTCTTTAGTTTTCTTTGATGTGTTTGGTAGAATTTTGTTTTATTTTTGGTTGTTTTACGTTTTTTTTGCTATGGCATTGTTAGTTCCCTTTTAACTTATGCATTTGACTATCCCTTTGGTTTCAGTTCCACCTTTTAAAAATAAGAACTGTATGCATTTATTATTGCGATCTTTGAAGAAAGGACAAAAATGTGAGATTTATTATTGCAATTTCAGGAAAGATTATATTAAATACCTCAGTTTATAATACAATGCAGTTTTTGTGAATTTCATTGAAATAGAAGGCAAGATCAAGTTTGAGGATGAATCAGCTTGAGATCCTCCAACTGAAGAAGCTGTATGTATCACCTGTTTTGATTGTGTGTATGATATGGTTTTGTAAGCAGTAAGCAGTTTGTGGATGCATCATGACTTTCAAATACAGATCAAAATAGCATCTTTCAGAAGATAGGTCTGATCATCATTGTATAAAACTATTTCTCCATTAAACATTTCCCTGGAAAAGTTGCATTAATCTCAAACTAAAATGCTTAAAGCTATTAGTAGCAGCAGCAGTATATAAGAAAACCATCGAAAAATCAAGGTTTCAAGAAGCATTTTTATTTGGATTGAAAATAAAGCCTGTTTTTATTCTATAAAATGCAGATTGGTTTTTGACAAATATAGATATAGATATTAATAAGTATTGTAATTTTCATTGTTATTAATAAATGTAATCTCAGTATTACAAATCTAATCTTGAATCAATCCTAATCCTATCTTATTTTTGGGAAATATTTTTACAAATTCAAATGTGACGTCACTTTGTGTGTTTTTTTTAAATTTCAAATGTGACCTCACTTTGTGCGTTGAGGCTTTGGCTAACTTGGCTGTATATTTTTATGTGTTGGATTAAGTTGTTTTATGTAATGTATCCGTTTTTATTCTGTAGTCCCCACTTCGGTTTTATCATGTATATCTATTATATAGTCATTTTATAAAATTTACTGTTTGCAAAATTATAAATTATTCTAAATAATAAGGATGTTCTTGTCCCAGGCAGAAAACCCTGGCCATGTTTAGCGCAACTTTTTGGAAGTTTTGGTCCTCGGTGCTCTTCAGCTTTGTACTTGTTTTGGCTTTCAAACTTTTTTCATCTGAGCGTCACTGGTTGGTCTTGTGTGGACGAGACGCACGTCTGGCGTATTGAATTTTAAGCCTAGTACCTTTTGTTAGCTATTATTCGTGTGTTTCTTTGTCCTATATGTTCTCCCATTTATTTGTATTGTGGTCCTGTCATGTGATGTTGTCGTTTTGGTGTTGTGTTTGACGTTGCCATAAAAGCGGGAGGTTTGGCATGCCACAAAACCAGGTTCAACCCACCATTTTTTTCTTAAAATGTCCTGTACCAAGTCAGGAAAATGGCCATTTTTATATTATAGTTCGTTTCTGTGTGTGTTACATTTTAATGTTGTGTTTTTGTTGTGTCGTTGTTCTCTTATATTTGATGCGTTTCCCTCAGTTTTAGTGTGTAACCCGGATTTGTTTTTATCTCTATCGATTTTTTTTAAAACATCATTGGCTTTGCAATTTTTGGCTCAGATTTAGGTGTCAGACCACCAATTCACCCACTCCAATTTTAAGAACCTATGTAAAAGTAGCCCTTCCCGGACAAAAAAGAGTGCTTTTTATGTCATTGTTTACTTAAACTAACCAACAAATTTGCAGAAATGAAACTTTTGGTGAAAGAATTTACTTCTCCATGAGTTTGCATAAAAATTGAGGATTTTACTTATCTAAGATTTCCAGAAAACCAAGGGTTATTTTTAGTAGTATTTGCCTTCCAAATGGTAATTTTTTACTACAAGACTTTAAACATTGGTTAAAAGTTGGCATGTAGAAAGGTTTCTATGAAGTTCAAATTAAGTAAAAATATTTACAAATCTGTGGGAATTGAAAAAAAAGTGGTTGAATTGATAGGGATCTTGAATTGGTGGTCTGACACCTTAGAGATTTTCTGATGAAGTTAAATCCACAAAAGCACTTTGGACACTTAGAATTGTAAAGTGTTATTATAATTTTTTATATAACTGATATGATCTTACATGCTGTTGATTCAGACTGTAGGGCATACATTTATTGGTGCTAATACTCTGCATGCAGCGAATAATGCAAAACTTTTAAATGTTATTCCTTATTTGTCATAGTTAAAAAGCATCAGAAAAAAAGGAAATTTCCGTTTTATATGTTGACATGTTCATCTTGTAGCATTTTTGCATTAATAAACCAGAGCTTGGAGCTAGATAGTGTAGTAAAATTACAAAAATACCGAACTCCGAGGAAAATTCTAAATGGAAAGTCCCTAAGTAAATGGCAAATTCAAAAGCTGTCATATTCCTGATGTGTACAGACATTTCTTATGTAGAAAATGGTGGATTAAACCTGGTTTTATAGCTAGCTAAACCTCTCACTTGTATGACAGTCAATTTTGTCTGCTCAATGTTTACTGTTAACTGGAGTAATATGACCATTGTCACTAGGCAGCAGGAACTATCTGTACATCCTCAGGACTTGAGTTTACCCTAATCCCTGAGAGATGTTCTTGTAACATAATCTTTAGTTTTCTGTGTCTGGCATTTTTATCAAAGGTGTTTTCTGTCTTCCTTTATATAATTGAATTTGATTCCCCCTTAGTAACCTCTAACTTTATCTGCTTAATTGCCATAACTTGAAACATTTTCATTAACCGGGAAAAAAATATTGGATTAAATTTAAACAATTGTACATAAAACATGGTGTCAGCTGATTGTAAACTTTAAATATTAGGAAAAAATGCACCTCAAAGTCCTTTCTCTAAATTATATTGTAGCTTAATTATTACGTTGCACTACTAGTAATAAATCAGTCTTCAGCGTTAGATCAAATTCATAGAGGTGTATGTGCTGGAGGTGGTATGACAAAAACCGTTGTTAATCTGCTCTGATCACGAAGCACATTTAATTTATGACTAAGATCAGCAAAGACCCATCGAAAAAACATCTGATACAAAAATTAAATAACACTTTTAGATAATTGGATGATGTATTGGCTTTCAATAATGACGACTTCAGTATGTACACTAAAGAGATGAACTTTCTTTAATAAAAGCAATTACTTACACTGAGTGTGAATTTGCATTGCTATACGATGTGTCTCGGTATTTTGTACATTCAACATTCATGCATTTATTTTTGATGTTTCTGTTATGTGTTATGTCTTATCGTTTGTTTTCCCAAATAGTTATAAAATTGCCCTTTAATACCATCATTGTCATATTCCCGAATATGACTGTTATACTGAGTGTGAATTTGCATTGCTATACGACGTGTCTCGGTATTTTGTACATCCAACATTCATGTATTTATTTTTGATGTTTCTGTTATGGTTTCGGTTGGATAACCTGTTATGTCTTATCGTTTGTAGTCCAAATAATTATAAAATTGCCTTTCCATAACATTATTGTCATGACAATTGTTTGGACGAGTACTGTGAAAATAATTGTATAAAGTTCGAGATTGCATGTTAGTTACGTAAGCGCGTCACTGTTTGTGATATCCTGTGGTGTCTGTCGTTGATTGAATATGTTCGTTATTGTTCTGCGATTTGTATGTTGTGTCGACTATTATATTATGTGTTTGTGCTGTATTTAAGTCACGTAGTATTGTCATTTTAGCGATATTTTTTTAAATTGTCATAAAGCGGGAGGTTTGGCTAGCCATTAAACCAGGTTCAAGCCACCGTTTTTCTTAAAATGTCCTGTACCAAGTCAGGAATATGGCACTTATTATCAAATATTTCGTTGTATGTTGGCGTTTGTTTTTGTTGCAGTTCAGTGTTCCTAGCTGTTGTTCCCTTGTTTTCCTCTTATTTCCCGCGGTTTTAGTTTGTAACCCGGATTTGTTTTTCTCTCAATCGCTTTATGACTTTTGAACACCGGTATACTAATGTTGACTTTATTTTACAATGACACTGCCTTTTCCTGGATCTTGATATCTTAATCTTTAACGGGTAGCTTAATACTAAAAAACGGATGTCAAGTTGGTTCAATATTCAGCATTTAACATTCATTTTTTTTGTGTGTAGCATTCGATTTCAACATTCAACATTTTTTTTTTTTGCTAAACTTTTTTTTTTTTTTTTTTTTTTTTTTTTTTAACATTCGTTTTCAACATTCAACATTCGTTTTCAACATTCGATTTTCAACATTCAACATTCGTTTTCA